CTTGACAACTTCAATCTTTTCTCCTTTTATCATGATGTTGCTTATTCGTCCAGTTGTGAGGATTTTTGTTTTCTTTGTGTTGAGGTGTGATCTTTGATCTTTGTCAGTAAGTGCTTCAAGTCCTCTTCACTGTCAGCAAGCAAGGTTGTGTCATCTGCATAATGCAGGTTGTTAATGAGTCTTCCTCCAATCCTGATACCGCGTTCTTCTTCATATAGTCCAACTTCTCAGATTATTTGCTCACCATACAGATTGAATAGGTATGGTGAAAGGATACAACCCTGACACACACCTTTCCTGACTTTAAACCACACAGTATCCCCTTGTTCTGTTCGAACGACTGCCTCTTGATCTATGTACAGGTTCCTCATGAGCACAATTAAGTGTTTTGGAATTCCCATTCTTTGCAATGTTATCCATAATTTGTTATGATTCACACACTTGAATGCCTTTGCATAGTCAATAAAACACAGGTAGACACCTTTCTGGTATTCTTTGCGTTCAGCCAGGATCCATCTGACATCAGCAGTGGTATCACTGGTTCCATGTCCTGTTCTGAACCCAGCTTGAATTTCTGACAGTTTCTTGTCAATGTACTGCTGCAGCTGCTTTTGAATGATCATCAGCAAAATTTTGCTTGTATGTGATATTAATGATATTGTTTGATAATTTCCACATTTGGTTGGATCACTTTTCTTGGAAATAGGCATAAATATGAATCTCTTCCAGTCGGTTGGCCAGGTAGCTCTCTTCCGTATTTCTTGGCATAGACAAGTGAGCACTTCCAGCACTGCATCCGTTTGTTCAAACATCTCAACTGGTATTCCATCAATTTCTGAAGCCTTGTTTTTTGCCAGTGCCTTCAGGGCGGCTTGGACCTCTTCCTTCAGTACCATTGGTTCTGATCATATGTTACCTCCTGAAATGGTTGAATGTCGACTAGTTCTTTTCAGTATGCTGACTATGTATTCCTTCCATCTACTTTTTTTCTTTTACTGTACTTTACATGAAGGTTTACAGAACAAACTAGCTTCTCATTAAACAGTTAATACACATTTTGTTTTTTGATATTGATTAACAACCCCATGACATGTCAATACTCTACCTTCTTGACCTTGGGTTCCCTATTACCAGCTTTCCTGTCCCCTCTGCCTTCTAGTCCTTGCCCCTGAGCTGGTGTGCCCCTTTAGTCTCATTTTGTTTTATGGGCCTGTCTAATCTTCAGCTAAAGGGTGAACCTCAGGAGTGACTTTGTTACTGAGATAAAAAAGTGTCCAGGAGCCATACTCTCAGGGTTTCTCCAGTCTCTGTCAGGCTAGTAAGTCTGGTCTGTTTTTGTAAATTAGAATTTTGTTCTACATTTTTCTCCAGCTCTGTTTGGGACCCTCTATTGTGATCCCTGTCAGAGTAGTCGCTGGTGGTAGCTGGGCACCATTTAGCTGTGCTGGACTCAGTCTGGTAGAGGCTGTGGTAGTTGTGGTCCATTAGTCTTTTGGACTAATCTTTCTCTTGTGTCTTTAGTTTTCTTCATTTTCCTTTGCTCCCAAAGGGGTGAGACCAGTGGAGTATCTTAGATGACCACTCACAGGTTTTTAAGACCCCAGACACTACTCACCAAAGTAGAATGTAGAACATTTTCTTCATAACCTATGTTATACCAATTGAGCTAGATGTTCCGAGACCATGGTCTGCACAGCCCTCACCTTCCATCTACTTTTGATGCTTCCTGCATCGTTTAATATTTTCCCCATAGAATCCTTCAATATTGCAAATTGAGGCTTGAATTTTCTCTTCACTTCTTTCAGATTGAGAAATGCTGAGTGTGTTCTTCCTTTTTAGTTTTCTATCTCCAGGTCTTTGCACCTGTCATAATACTTTAGTTTGTCTTCTCAAGCTGCACTTTGAAATATTCTGTTCAACTCTTTTACTTCATCATTGCTTCTTTTCACTTTAGCTACTCAACTTTCAAGAGCAAGTTTCAGAATCTCTTCTGACATCCATTTTGGTCTTTTCTTTCTTTCCTGTCTTTTTTTTTTTTCTTTTTCTTTTTTTTAATGACCTCTTGCTTTCTTCATGTATGGCGTCCTTGATGTCATTCCACAACTTGTCTGGTCAAATCTATTATTGAGATGGTCTCTAAATTCAGGTGAGATTTATTCAAATATTATTTCTGCTTCTTTCTCTGTCCTTTCTTTCTGGGGCTCCTATTACGTGTGTGTTGGTAAGCTTGGTGGTCTCTGAGGCTCTGCTCATTTTTCTTCATCACTTTTTTTCTGTTCCTTTTATTGGCTAATCTCAATTGACTGGTCTTCAAGCTCGCTATTTTTTTTCCTTCTGCCTGCTCAGATCTGCTCTTGAGCCCCTCTATTGAATTTTTCATTTCAGTTATTGTGCTTTTCAACTCCAGGCTTTCTATTTGGGTCTTCTTCTTCTTTTTTTTTTTTCCTATCGCTTTATTGATAATATCTATTTATTGAGACTTCATTTTCATACTTTCACTTGGTTCTTTAGACTTTTTATTTTTTTAGTTAGTTCTTTGAACAAACTTAAAGTAGCTTGTTTAAAGTCTTTGTCTAGTAAATTCTCAGGGACATTTTTATTGATTGCTTTTTTACCCCTGTGTATAGGCCATACTTTCTTGTTTATTTGCATGTCTTGTAATTTTTCATTGAAAACTGGAGATTTCAAATACTATAATGTGGCAACTCTGTAAATAAGTTCTCCCCACTCTCCAGGGTTTATTATTGTTGCTGTTTATTGTTGTTGTTTGTTTGCTTAGTGACTTTTCTGCACTAATTCTGTAAAGTCTGTATCCTTTGTTGTGTGTGACCACTAAAGTCTTTGCTTGGTTAGCTTAGTGGTCACCTAATAATTGGACAGAGATTTCCATAAATGACTAGTGCCAATTAGTCTCTCAGTCTTTGCCAGGAGACCCTTTGTGTGCATGTTGGGGTATGCCTGCAACACTCAGCCAGGAAATTAACAACTCTGCTTTAGCCTTCACTTCCTATTTGCACAGAGTCTCAAAGTCAGCTTGAGATGAGAGCATAGAGCCTTCTGAGGTCTTTTGTGAGTATGCACACAGCCCTATGCATGAGCATGGCCTTTTAGATTCCCAGGAATATGTCAGAGCTTTTCAAAGCCCCTTTGGACATCTCATTCCCCAAATTTTCAAGCTTTTTGGTTAGCCTATTATTGCCCCAATTGTTATCCATCATGTCAGATATATGTGAAGTTAATCAGCTGACAATCTTCCCAGGGAAAAAGGCTTTTCACACTAGGTGAGTTCCAAATAAGGTCAAAGTCAGGTGAGAAAATTCAGAAGAAGCCCTATCCTAGGACCTGACTGAACCAGCTGAACTGTTATTATAGCTGTGTATTGAAGCTCTGGTGGTGCAGTGGTTAAGAGCTTGGCTGCTAACCAAAAGGTCAGCAGTTCAAACCCACCAGCCACTCCTTGAAAACCCTATGGGGCAGTTCTACTCTGTCCTGTAGGGTTGCTATGAGTTGGAATCGACTTGACGGCAGTGGGTTTGGTTTTTGGTTTGGTGTGTGTATTGGGGGGGTGGGCACTACACAGACATAAAAGGGCCCCAGATTTTCCCCTTGCAGCCTCCAAGAATGGTAAGATCAAAATTGGAGGTAGAGCTTCAGAGTCAGCCTCAGAGTTTTCCCATTGAAGTGCTCCTTTCCTTAGATATCCTGGCTTCTAAGGTTTCATAGTCCCATCCCCAGAGTGTGTTATCAGAGTCATGACAATTTCCCAGGTCCTGTGTGTCCATATGGAGGCCATAGGGAACAGTCTTGCCCAGCAGAAACCCTGGATCCCAAAACTTTAGGCCTCAGTGAAGAGCCAGGACAAGAATTTAGCCCCAACTGAAGAGAGGGACAATCCTAGGAGACTCAATACAGGAGAGGATCGAATAGGGGATGTAGGATTGAGGCTCTCCCTTCCCAAGTAAGGGGATTCCTAGACACTTTGTGAGCAAGACCTCCTGGTTTCTGCAACAGAAGGAACAGGTTCCTTCAAAACAGGCTTTGATTAAAAGGACGAGGAGCTTTTCTCAGTGACTTTTTCTCAGGAAAAAAGGCAAGGAGCAGGAAGGTCCCCTGAAAACAACCAAGTCAGTGTCATCCTCTTTGTGGAGCCCAAGCCCAGCGGAAGGCAGAGCCATGTTCATGGCAGTGGGGACACTGAGCTAGGAGGGTGTCAGTCATGGGCCTGATCCTGGAGAAGAATATGGGCATTGGGTATGGACTTCATGCACAGAAGAAAGTCAGCACCAGGAGGAACGTCAGGCCCAGGCAGAGCCCTCAGATGGGCCTTCTTGTGACTACAGGGCTCTTTTCTACCCAGATCCAAGGAAAGTGATAAGTGCCCATTCAAGCAGGGCCCGAGGGCCAGAGTTGTCTCAGCAGGGACAGGCAGGTCAGAGACCAGGCCAGACATTCCTGGAAAACTGTGAGATTGAAGAATCAATAACTGTGTTCATTGCTTCCTAGGGAGTCTATGTCCCCAGCCAGCCCTGCTAGCATGGGTCAAGGATGCCAGGTACCTAAGGCTACCCTCTGTACTGCACCAGGCCATGTCCTTGGGGATGTGTCTCTTCTAGTCATCCAGAAAGCCCTCCTTCATCCACTCTTAGAAGGAAATTTCTCTGAAGGGAAAATTTCAGTCCCTGTAGAGAAAATCTATCAGTTCTTGTGCTAGCACATCCTTTGAGGAAGATGACCTCTGTTTCTCATAACTAAGGATACTTATTCTTTTCAAATATATTTGTTCTTCTAATAGCCAAATGCTGTCTTCCATCTGTGCTGTGTTTAGGGTATATGTTTAGGGAATCCCAGGAGTCTGGGCTTAGAGAAAGGGAAGAGTCAGCTTCAGCTCTTACTCAGGGTCTGCTTGGGCTTTTCAAAGGTGATCAGGGGCCTGGAGGAGGTTGACAGTGGCACTGCACACCCACCCCCATCCCAGGCTCATTGCTCCTGCTCAGATGTCCTATTTTTAAAATACTTTATTTTTTTTCCATAATACTGTCATTACAAAAAAATACAAAAAAACTACTATAAAAACATTCAAGGGCTTGTCAAAGTGAGAAAATCTAAAGACCCCATCCCAGGACCTGGCTGAACCAGTCTTTCTCCCAGCTCCTTCACTGTTTGACCTTTATACAACTGTGGGGATGGGGTGGGGTTACACAGGCATAAAAGGGCTGGAAATTTCCCACACAGCCTCTGAGATGGGTAAGAAATAAGTAGCTTCACATATCACAAAAGTGGGATTTGGAAGTTTGAGGGTGGCTAGGCCCTGAGTTCAGAGGTGTGGGGAGAAACCTGTGACCCTGAATCTCTTGGTGGAGAATAGCTGCCACCTGCCCCCAAAGCCCTTTCTCTTCCTGATGAAGGCTGGGAGATGGACACTGCTCATTATCTCTTAGCCTTAAAACAGCAGGCAGCCCTTTCCTCTCACGCTACCCTTGCACACGCTAAGAGCAGTAGGGAGGACAGAACTTCCTACTCTATGGTGTGTAGGCAGGGGAGCTTTTGGGAGGCTGCTGATGGCCTTGTTCACTTCCCTGCCCCAAATAAAAAGTGTCTCGTGCTCAATGGCCCTGTTCCCGGGGTACTGCCTTGTGATCTTCCTTCCTATCTCAACCTCAGAGAGATGCAGACAGCTCTCGGTGAGTGGTTCATGTGCGTGAATATAGATGTGGTAACCTTGGTTCTCCAAGTGTTGGACACTGTGGTCCTCAGGTAGGGGTGGTAAAGTAGTATCCTTTCTATTCTCTTCTTCCCTCAACAGGAGGAGGCCAAAGAGAAGAGAGAGGAAAGGTATCAGCAAGGTATCTGACAGAGGGAGGAGGACATGCTATTTACAGGCATGGACAAGGAATCTCTAACTTCAAGTAGCACTCAGGTTACTCTCCAGCCACTGGAGTGGGAACTGGATTCAAAGCTAGTGACATGAAAATTGACCCTTGGTCTGGGCCAGCTCTCCCCACTCCCCCCACTCCCCCAAGGCAGCCCAGCTTTAAGGGGATCAGGGACAGGAACATTTTCCTGAAAACCAGTAGGCTTTTTTTGCGTTTAGAAAAAGTTGCCAGTGTCCAGTGGACATTGAGCTGGGTGCACATTGAGTAGGGATAATAGGCGGTATTGCTCTGGTAGACTCTGGGCTGGCAGGGCAGAGCCTAGGAACAGGGTAGATGCTGCTTAAGGATTTGTCTTGTCTGTGGTGTTAATCTGTCTGGGAAGCGAACTTTGAACTCAACAATGAGGTCTCCCCTCTGGGTGGGCACCTTAGGGAAGGGAAGCCCCTCCCCACGGAGTCTCTTCACGGTGCCTGGTTTGATGACATCATTGCAGGGCAAAGGAATCACTCGGCCATCAATGGTGGGAATGTTCACGGTGCAGCCACATAGTGCCTGGGGAAAAATGAGGCAGAGTGAGGAAAAGGTGGGAGTAGAGTGGGAAAGACGGAAAAAGACTGACTTGGGAAAGAATGACCCGCTGATGGAAAGGAATGGGAACATCTCCCCCAACGCGCACGCACACGCACACACACGCACGCACACACACACTGCCACAGGACCCACCTCTTTGAGGCTGATCAGGGCACTGTAGAGCACATTGGTGCCATCTCGACGGAAGTGTGCATGGGGTTTGTCTTTGAGCACAAAGACGATGTCGGCAGGGATATTGTCAGGTGTGGCATCACCCTCTTTGGGGAAGGTGATCTTGGTGCCTTCCTTCCAGCCACGCTTGATGACAATATGCAAGATCTTGTCCTCTGTGCGCACAGTTCGCCCATCAGGGTTGAGGCGCCGCCTTGTGATCTTCATGCGCTTGGTGGAGCCGTGGTAGATCTCCTCCAGGGACACCCGTAGCTCATGTACCACAGGTGGGTCCTGCACCTTGCGCCGAGGGTACAGTGGTTCTGGGGCTCGCCTTGGACCCCTGCTCAGCCCATTGAAGCCAAAGCGGCCAAAGGCACCAAATGGGTCCTCATCTTCATCCACATCCATGTCATCAGGGTCAAAGCCACTGAAAGGCCGAGTGGAGCGGCTGCTGGCAAAGAAGATATCGAAGGGGTTGGAGCCACCAAAGAAGGAAGCAAAGGTGGCATGGGGGTCCCCATGAAAGGTGTAGTGAAAGGAGCCACTGGAGCCACCTGACGTACCACCGCCGGTCTTCAGGCCTAGAGGGGAGGAGAAGTTAGGGGCAGTATGGCTCGTCCTGGATCCACCCCAGTCTCTTCACCATGCCCTCTAGCTCCCAGTCTGTAAGCCTAGAGAAACCCAAACACCCGTTGCCGTTGAGTCGATTCCGACTCAGCAACCCTATAGGACAGAGTAGAACTGCCCCATAGGGTTTCCAAGGAGCAGCTGGTGGATTTGAACTGCCAACCTTTTGGTTAGTGGCTGAGCTCTTAACCACTGTGCCACCACAGCTCCTAGAGAAGCAACCTTTAATTCCCCAGAGGGGTCAGGCTAATAGAGGAAGCAAAGCCTCTGGCAGGATTAATTTCTGCTCTTAATTATATATTTAATAATAATGCACATTTTGAGGTTCAAAGAGACTGAGTTACCCAATAGGCAGAAAAGCCAGGACTAGAGGACTTAGAGGATGTGACCTCCAGTTCTGTAATCTTTTCCATGTACCCATCGCTCGAAGACTTCTCACAGAGTATTGAGTGGCTGGGCTGGAATCAAATTACAAGTCATACCTGGCTCCCAAACCTTTGCTTATCTCTAAGAGACACACAGGGCAAGAGACAATCACATAGGATTTGAGCACACCAGGGGCTAGTAGGTGACCTGTCCCAAATGCGGTAAGGACACAGGCCAGAAGGGAAGCCCATTCTTATTCTGCTTCTAGTAGTGTTTCCTTTTTCCCTGACTTCTGCCCAAATGAGAAATTAGAAGGGCCCAAAACAGCAGGAAAGCTCGTTAGCTGAATAATGGAGATGAGAAGCTATTTCTCTAGAAAGAGTTTTCAAATGCTTTGTTCCTACACTCAGGGCTCACAAAGATGCAGGACTCCAGGGGCACCATTCACACATTGTGCAGACATAGAATACAGTGGGAATGGGGCTCCCTGGAGTTATACAACACCAAGTCCTACACTCCATACCTAATATCAGAGCAACCGAAATGTACACATGGGCTGACACATTGAGGGTGGTGACCTCAGAGCCCAGTTATTCTCTCAGGTCCTCTCCAAAGGGTTCAGATTCCTGGATGCAGTCCTCATGGGAGTGTAGGAGGGAGGGTGGCAGAGGTGATGGGGAGTATGGGAGGAAATACGGGATGGCATTAACACTGAGAACTGAATATGTAGGCTTAGAGGTGGGACCCAGGCTAGGGGAAGGAGTTCGTCTCTTTAAGAGAACTTCAGTTGGCCTTGGAAGCCTGAGCCTAATTAGCCTCTTACTTCCAAGGACCATGGAGCCCCGGTGGTGCAGTGGTTAAGAGCTCAGCTGCTAACCAAAAGGTCGGCAGTTTGAATCCACCAGCCATTCCTTGAAAAGCCTATGGGGCAGTTCTACTGTGTCCTGTAGGGTCACTATGAGTCAGAATCTACTCAACAGCAACAGGTTTTGGTTTTTTGGTTTCCAAGGACCCCTAGGGCAGCTTTGAGCTTCATTAGAGGCCAAGTGGCAGGCAGTTCAGGAACTTGTGGCAGATGCCTTCTCAGCCCTCCCCCAAGACCCAGGGTCTATTCCTTCTGTGGGTAGCCCTGGGAAGGGGCTGATTATCATGCAAGTTCAGGAAGTGTGGCAGAGCTCAGTGAGAGAGGGAGGTTATACTGACAATGACAGGAGGGGGTAATTTCTCTCTGTAGGGATTCCTCTTCTAACACTACCGCCCCCTTTTCAAGCTCGGAACAGTTTGTCCTCAGCCAGAGCTGCTCACAGAGTCTGTGTTCACAACTGATCTGACTGGCTGTTGGGGAGGAGGCAAGGCTGCTTCTTCCTCCCCAGGCCCTGAAGGTCCCTTTAAGGCTGTGCTGCATCCTCAGGGGCCTCCTGGTATGGAGGTCTGCATCAGAATCTGTGCTTTGCCCTTCACTTAGGCTTGGTCATACAGGAGGGGTGAAGTTTCTGGGCAGTTCTCCCAGCTCCCACTTTCTTCCTAAACAAAGGTGAGGCCCAGGGGAGGAATGAGTGCAATTCCTAGACAGGTCACATGGTGGCACGGTGTCTTCACTGCCTCCCTCTTCCATCCCTCCATTCCAAAGAGAAAAATTTCTTAGCTGTGAGAATACTGGAAATTCTAACAGATGCCTAGTGAATCTGGGAGTTGGCAAGTCTAAGACGTGAGCAGGGAAAAATGGAAGGAACTAGTAGCATGGAGAATAAGAAGTAGGGGTTGAGAAGACTGGGGTGCACAGACGATAGGAGTAGAGAAACAAAAATGAGGAAGGGGGAGAAAAAAGAACATTCTTTTCAGCACCTACTTTGTATTAGGAACACTACATATTAAACCCATTTAATTTTGAGGAAGGTGAGGGGGAGGAGGAGAATGTTAAAGAAAGGTAGATGCTGTTACGGAGGAAGGACAGTTCCTCTCAGGAAGGAGAGTCCTCAGCTGTGACAATGTCTCTTAATATAGCCTGACAGGTGCCTGTGGCTGGCGGGTGGCAGGCGGCCCTGAGGGGCAGGCCCAGAATTAGCAGCTACATCATGCCCGTGGGATGTGCTGGGAGGGGCCACCCTCTCAGAGGCTTTATTTGGACCTTTCCTGCTGCCCTGTGCGTGGCCACCAGCTACCCCAGGGAGGGGTAAGATGCCAGCAGCAGTTTCCTTTCCACCCTTGGATCCTTGCCGCTTCCTCTGGGAGGCAAAGCTTCACCTCAGTTCTGCTGGCCTAAAGCGGGGAGGGAGGGAGGCAACTATCTGTCTAGCTCAGAGCTCCAGTGGTTAATTCCCAGGCTTCTTAAGGGCCAAACTTTTATGCTGATGGATGTAAATGCTCTGTCCTTTGAGAGCCACACATTCCCTCTCCCCAACCTTCCTCCTCAGCCAATGGAGCAGCAGGGATTTCAGGCAGGACTAATAAGGCTGGGAGGGAAAGAAGGGGGAAGGCCTCTAGCTCTAGCTCCAAATCTTCAGACCTCTCCAAGGCCTGAACTTGAGGAGGGAGAGGGGCAGAGAGACACGGGGAGAAATGTGTTAAGACTTGGTAGTGGGTGGTCTCTTCTCTCTTCTGGGTGTCACTGCTGGAACACCTGCCTCCCTCACCCCCTCCTCAGCCTCCAGTTCCTTAATATGAGAACTGGTTCACCCAGGGCCCCAGACAAGGACAGGCATCCAACATCAGGCTGGAGCACTGCCCTCTTACCTTCCTCCCCATATTGGTCATACAGGCCCCGTTTCTTAGGGTCACTCAGCACATCATAGGCCTCTGCAATCTCCTTGAACTTCTCCTCAGCGTTGGGCTCTTTGTTCTTGTCTGGGTGGTACTTCAAGGCCATCTTCCGATAGGCTTTCTTGATCTCATCCTCATTGGCCCCCGAAGGGATTCCAAGAATCTTATAATAATCCTTTCCCATCACAGCCACTGGACCAGCACTGGTCTCCTTGTTTCTGAAAGAAACCCAGGGCCAATCCCTGATGGCTTCTGTTCCCTTCTGCCTCAGTCGTGCTCCTGATGATCCTGCAATCCCTAAATGACTTACTGTGTGACCTTCAGCAGGTCACACCTGTTCCTTGGGCCTCTGTCCCCCATCTGTAAAATGAAAAGTTTGGACTAGATGATCTCTTCCAGCTCTGACATTCTAGGATTCTATGATTCCTTCCTTACCTCCTGGGTTTTCCCAGCAAGAAGCTGGAGGTTGTGACCTATTTCTTGGGTCTAGGCTAAGGCCCAGGTCCTTGGGCCAGACTGAAGACCCTGAGAGGCCCTGCTGAGTGAGGCAGCAACCATGGACTGACAGACACACACAGAAGCTGGTGAATATCAGTGTACTGGGTGAGGTCACTTGAGCATGATGGTCTCCTATGCCATGCCTCAGGCATGGTGCCCAGGCTGAGGGCAGCTGGGGCAGTGGCTCAGGACTGGGGACAGACCTGAGGATTCAGCCAGCTGTCCTGGCTCAGCCAGGACTCAGCCAGGCTGAGTCAGGGTGTGGGTGCCTGGAGTCCTTTTCTTCCACTGGAGACCCCAGGCCTCCCTGCCCCCAACCCACCCCTCACATGTGACTCAGATCAGAGGATGACTCAGCCTTCGGAAATTGCTGCTTCTAACACCCTCATTAATAGGGGGGTAACACTGTCCTTCCCCTAACCAGGGCAGTAGTTCCCTTTACTCATCTCCCAATGTCTACACACAGAACTGTGTGTGAAGACATGTCCATGCTGCCTAAGCACCCGTGTTGGTGAACAAAAGCATCTTGGGTAAGGCCTTTTTTAACCCTTGTTGTTAGGAGACAATTGGGCATTAACCACGATTTCCTTAATATCTTCCCTACCAGTCCCTCCCTCTCACCTGCCCCCAGTGGTTCGGGATCTGGCTTAGTGCCAGACCCACACTTCTTTGATGGTCCCTTCCAGGCTAGGTACAAGGGCATTTGGTATGTGAGGGAGAAATATAGGGCTCTAATACTTCCAGAATTATATCCCCCCACCCATGTGTTGGTGATGAATATGAAGGGAAGGGGACTTTACTCTAGCTGGAGCTATTTTGGGGAATGGCCAGAAGCCATTCTTCAGCTTTTTGGCATTTGGCCAACTCCTGCCAAAGCCGGGAGAACCAGAGTCTTTCTAGCAATGTCCTGGGCTGGCAGCCACAGCTGAGTCCTGTGTTTTTGCCTCTGACTGCTTCACATCAGTGAGGGTATGGGGGTGCCCTGGCAGGAGTCAGGGCTATAACTGGGAAAGGGGGAGGCTCCAGGTAGGCAGGGACAATGGCCCTAGTTCCTGCCCCCACAAGGCCTGCTGCAGGTGGCTGAGTTGACTCATGGTTCTGGGAGTCACCTCACTCTGACAAAGAGAAGGCTCCATAAAGGCGGGTACTCCCCCATTCCCCCCACCAGTATGTCATGCCTGGTGGGGAAGGCTGGGGCTGGGGGAGGCAGAGAAGAAAGAGCATCTGGGGGAGGGCAGCCATTTTCGGAAGCAGCAGTAAAAGCTGTCTGAGAGAAAATGGGGGTGGTAGTGGTGGTGGTCTGCCATCTCTGTCTCAGCCTACACTCTTTCCCCTGGCACTGGGAAGGAACCCTAGCATACTAAGGGGCGCCCCAGAGAACTCTAGCAGCTTCTAGGCAATGGGCACTCCACTCTACCAACCCTTCTCTTGTTGTCCCTGCATTACCTCTTCACCTGGCCAACTTCCTCTCTGGCACCCACCTGCTAGCTGCTCTAGAGTGCATAATTCTCTTGTCTCCATACACAAAGAGCAAGGTCTCAGGAACTGCCTCTTTTTCTTCCTTCTCCTCTCCTCCTTTCTTCCCTCCCCTTACCCACAAGCCATGTGTTGGAATGACCAAAAAGCCCCATGGCATGGCACTGCCTTTGATGGTGAAAAATGAAGAGAATGTTAATGGAGAAGCAGGAATGAAAAATGGGGAGAAATGGCAAGGGTATAGGGAGGCAAGACAATTGATAGAGAAAATGAGGTACTGATAGAGGGGGATGAGGAATGACATGGAAATGACTGAAGTGAAAAATGGGTTCTGACACTGTTAAAAGGGAGAGACAGAAAGTTTAAAATACGGGAGATGTTTGTGGAAAATGGATGCCTGAAGGGTTTGAGATATGAAGAGATGAAGGCTGAGGAAGAAGGGGGGTTCTCGCATGTAATGGGAATGAAATGGAGATGAGATGGAGGGAGCAGGTAGGCAATGGGGGATGGCTGATGGGAAAATTTGACTTGGTATGGGTATGAGTGCCCTTCTACGGAAGGACTTACCGAAACTTTACAAACCCATTCAGCGTCCACGCTCGAAGTTTTAAGGGCTCCAGCTGAATTTTAAACATCAAGCTGGCTAAGAAGTCTTCTCCCCAGAAGTTTGGGAAGCTCCGGAAAGCTCCTCGGGCCTCCTGGAGTGGGGGTGGGCAGGAGAGCACTGTGCACTTTAAACATGCCCAGCCAAGCCCCTCACCTCTGGCGGCTCCACTGGAGCCTGCTTGGGATGCTGCAGCTCTGGAAGCCACCTCCTCAGATTCTCAGAGACATTTGCCCAGCAAGGGCTGTCTGGTACAGCAGGAGTGGGACTTGATCCCCAGGTGTGGAGTGAAGGGATAGCACCTGCTCTCAGGTGCAGCAATGTCTGGCTGATTGTGAGTGACTGTATGGTAGTGTGACAGTGAGGATGGCAGTGCGAGCGTGTGCTTGTGAGTGGCAGCGTGTGTACCTGTGACAGGTGTGATTGTCAGTGAGGGCCTGAGAGGCAGTGAGCTCCTCTCTCAGGGGAGGATCCAACCCCAATTCCAAGAACCTACTCAATCAAATCAATGACGGGGAGTCTCTTCCCTCGCAGAGGGGCAGGGAGGGGCGGGGCGGGGGAGAGCAGAGCTTGGTCAGGACAAAAGGCGCGGGTGAGGAGAGAAGGGAAGAAGGAGAGGGGAGGGGGCTAGGCGGGGGAGGGTAGTCGGTGATGTCACCGGCGCTGGCTGGCCGGGCCGGCTTAGAAACGCCTCCGCCCGGCAGAACCCAATCCGACCCTCCCCACCCGGCCCCCACCCCAACCCCAGCCCTGCTCAGACACTGGCTGCTCCCTGTGGGAGCCAAGCCCAGGTCGCGGACATCCAGTACCTTAGCAGACCCCAAGTCCCCGCACCCCCACGGCAGAAGAGCCTTTGGGCCCTCAGTGTCCCAATCCCCCTGACACCAGGACCCCTGCCTTCGCGATGCCCCCTCTCCCGGGACTCCCGAGTCCTGGCTCGGCACTCTCACCGGTGAGGAGCTGCGGGCACCGCCGCGGTCGGTCAGACAGCCGCTGCCGCCTCCCCGGGCTCCGGCTCCGGCTCCGCTGTCTCCACTCAGGACACGAGTTGCCTGCCCGCCGGCCGCCGACAGCGGGACGGGGAACCCGCCCCCACGGCTCCGCCTCCTTGCCAGCCATTGCGCAGTCTGCCCGCCACTCAGCTCAGCCTCTGCTGTGATTGGATAGCTTTTAACGAGTGGCTCGGTGATAGCCGCCCATATTCCGCCCCTGTCAACCGGCCACACGCGCACACATTCCTGGCAGTGATTGGTGTGAGTCTGATTGGTGCACTCTGGGATCAATCAATCACACCTCTTCATCATCTTGTCTTGTCATTGGTGAAAGGAACAGAGGGCGGCACCTTCGCACGCCCTTTGATTTTATTGGTTCGTCTGTAAGGCTCAGACCCAGCCTGGGGCAACTATATTAGTCCAATCTCCGGTTTGAGAAAGTGGGACGTACTGGCCATCGCTCGAATCCCGGGAGAACCTTCTGGAACTTGTGCAACGTCAAAGGCAGCCTTAAAGGAAAACTATGCCCACCATTTGGCCGTGACTGTGGGCACTCTTTCCTTTCTTCTTTAGTAGGTTGAAGGAGAGAGAGAATAGTGCACTCTGGGAGGTGTAGTCCCTGGACCAGTGTCAAAACGTCACTCCTTACCTGTCTTCCGTAGAGCTCAACCTGACCTGATTTAGCTTTACGTTGCTTCTTGTGGGAAAACCCAGGTGGCGCAGTGGTTAAGTACTACGGGTACTAGCTAAAAGGTCGGCGGTTCGAGTCCAGGAAGCGCTACTTGGAGACTGTAGACCGTTCTACTCTGTCCTTACAGGCTCATTATAAGTCGGGATCGACTCAATGGGTTCGGGTTTTTTTTTTTTTTTGATTCTCATTGACCTGACATGACCAAACTGAATCTCAAAAAAGACCTCGATAGTCAGAGTTTAAATACCGTTTTGATCTCTCCTTGTCAGCACCTAAGTAATTCTCCCCAGGCTCAACACCTCCGTGATTCCATTTCTGAGTCCCCTTCTCAACCACTCTGTAATCCCGTTATCCTAACTCCCCACCCCTATAAGCGACCCTTTCTCAGCAGGCCCCCACAATCCTCTATTTCAGTCTCCGTTTAAGCCTTCGTCCTGCTTCCTCTTTGAGTTCTCGTATTTTGTTGTTATTGTCATTGTGTGCCGACGAGTTGATTCTGACTCATAGCGACCCTATAAAACCCAAAACCAAACCCGTTGCCGTGGAGTCGATTCCAACTCATAGTGACCCTATAGGACAGAGTAGAACTGCCCGCATAGAGTTTCTAAGCAGCACCTGGTGAATTCAAACTGCCGACGTTTTGGGTAGCAGCCCTAGCTCTTAACCACTATGCCACCAGGGTTTCCAAGCAACCCTATAGGACAGAGCGTTTTAGTCCCCTTCAATTGATCCCTATATTTTGCCTCCTATGACCCATATGGTCTCCTTTCTGTTCCTCCCCGACCCCATGATCTTATGTCTTGTCCTATTCTTAATCTTTACTCCATGATCTTCTCTATTCTAACCCCACTGATAACTCATTGCTGTCAATGGATTCCAACTCATAGCGACCCTGTAGGGTTTCCAAGGCTGTAATCTTTATGGAAGCAGACTGGCACATCTTTCTCCCATACAGCAGCTAGTGAATTCGAAATCCATCAACATTTCTGTTAGCGGCCGAGCGCTTAACCACTGTGCCACAGGGCTCCTTTCTCCTATCCTAGCTCCCCCTCTTTAACCCTTCCTCTTAGCTCCCCAAGATTTCCTTTCCTGACACCCTCAGAATCCCTCATCTCAGTGCCCCCCCACCCCATTAAATCTCAGTCTCAGTGTCCCCACTGTTCAGAGCAGGCGGGGCTGCGGAGGCGGCCGCCAGCGGAAGCCGCCGCTTGAGCTTGAGCAGACACGGTGCCTGGCGCCCACGTCACTGTCTCCCAGGCCCATCTGTGCTAGAGGGAGCGGGGGTGGGGAGGGGGTAATCAAGGGGTGAAGAGGGGGAGGGAACTTCTGGGAGTTTGAGGACAAAGAAAGAGCCAAGGGAGGATCTCTCACTTACCTAGCTTTTTTGCTGCATCCCAGAGACAGAGTTAGGACAGCCGTGAGGTCACACAAACTGGATAGAGCTGGAAACTGAGGCTTGGAGAGCGTCAGCACCTTAGGCCACAGAGCAGCGCAGGGGAGATATCTAGGGGTCCTGGGGTCAGGTCTGCACGTTCTCCCTTACCTGCCTTCTTTTCAGCACTCAGTATGGCGATCCCAGGTGTAAAGGGGTGTGCGGTGTGAAGAAAGAAAGGGAATTGGGGTGAGGAGGATGGAGAGAAGGTGGGGTGAGGGGGATGAGGAGGGGAAAGGAAAGGAGATGGAATAGAAGATGAGAAGGGGAGATGGAGTGGAGGGCGAGGAGGGGAGGGCAGATAGGGTGGGAAACAGAATAGAAGAGAGGGAAGATGGGGTGAGGAGGAATGAGGAAGGGAGAGGAGGTGGGGTGATGAGGGAATGGAGTAGTTCCAAATGGAGATGGGCAAGGTAGGATAAGGGGGACACACTTGGGGGCCCAGACTGGTGCTGGCCACTCAGATCTCTCTCCCCCACCTCCAGACTCATGGGGGCCTGTGCTGTAGGTGGCTCTGATTCTTCCTATTCCAGTTCTTCTCTTTTGCCTCCTCCAGTCCTGCCTGTGCCAACACAGAGACAGAGAGTTTAGTCACCAGCCCTTACCTGGCCCCCGCAGATGCTAAAGTGTAGGCTTGGCCCTTTGAGGGGGCAGGCAGGGCTATGCCCTCAGTTGGTGGTATGGGCTCCGTTGTCTGGCTAGTTCATTATTGCTCTCCCCTGTCCCATTGTCCAGGGCATCAGGGGTGTGTGTGAGGAACCAGGGTGCACAGCGCAGCAAGGAGGGTAAGAATGCGGACCCTAGAGTTAGATTGTCGACCTTGCAAGGTTACTTGCAACATCTATGCCTCGTTTCCTTCTTAGTAAAATGGTGATAGACAACAGCAGTATCTATCTCATAGAGTTGTTGTGAGGGTTAATTAAGGTAACAAATGTAATGTACTTAGTTCGGAGCTTGGCATGCAGTTAATGCCCAACAAATGTTAGCCATTACTGTATATGTTCACAAATATCTGGGTGTGTGAGTGCATCTTTAAGCGTGTGAGTCTGATTGTGACTTATTTGTATTACTATATTTGTATGTGATTTGTGAGTGAGATTGTATCTTTGCAGTTTTTTTTGTGTGCCTGTTTCTTTGTTATTTGCTGTATATGTGTGATCTTGTGTGTCACTATACATGCGTGATTAAATGTGTAGCCCTGTATCTACTTGACAAAGAGGGGATGCACTGTGTTGCTGTTGACACGCTGATACCGTGTCTGTTGGTGTATGCATGCGTCTGTGATCATGTCAGTTCCAAACACCCCTGCTCAACCTCCCTCCCATGGAGACGTCATAACCCTAGGTGTCCCTCATTTCCTCACCCTGAGGGAACCGGAACCCATGGGCAGGGGCGGAGGTGGGTGCTAGTGAGGAGGTGTTCAGACAGGAGCACATGTTCTCTTCCAGACTGCGTATGGAGGGGGGGGGAGCACCCTATCTTGTACATCCTGAAAGCTCCAGAGGAAGTGCACCCCCTAGCCTATTCTCAGTTCCCTGTCTTGTCACCATGGCAGCAGTTGCCAGGGGCTCCCATGGTTGCTAAGATCTGGGTGTGGGAGGCTGCCAGGCCCTGTTGCCAGTAGAAACAAGAGAATCCTCGGGGTGGGGGAAGAAGAAGACCACCCCAACAGCTGCTAGCTCTCTGCATCAGTAGGACTGGCCCTTGGTCCTCTCCTATCCCCAAATTTCACCTATGATTTATATGTGGTAGTACTAGGGTTGACGGTAGGGGGCTTTAGCAAGAAGCTGGAACCAGAATGCTGGGATCCACCTTCTGAGGAGAAAGGGGGCCATAGCCTGCCCATTACCATCTTTAAAGTTAGAAGGTCCTTAGAAATTAGTGACTCCTCCATTCTGTCCCCCATCCCTCATACCTCTCTCCTGGGCAGCATCCCTGCTTTTGTTCTCCAGTGGCTGATGGTTTCACCTGGGTGTGGAAATGCTACGTTGATCCATTACCCTGGATGCAGATTGATTCCTTCCTGTGGTCAGATTCTTAGCATCTGACCTGGCTACATACTTCATGCTGACACCTGAGCCCAGACTTTGGTCCCACACTGAGTCTCAATTTTAGCCTCAGACTGAAATACTGACCTGGTCATAGTCCTGGACCAGACAGTTCCCTAAACCTAGCCTCAGCCCTCAAAGACGTGGATGAGATCTAATCCTGATACCAGATACTTGAACTTATCCACAGATTCAGTTCTGATCCTATACACTGAGCACTGACCAGGGATCTAACTCCCTGGGTACTTGCTCCGGCTCTTCCTCCATGTTCTGAACCTGTTCTAACTAGTACCATAAAGCTTCAAAAGAGTTATTTCTTGCCTTGGGGTGAGAGGACAGTGCTAGTGATGACCAGCAGGGGGCGTGCAACATCAGGTTTCGCAGACCTGTGAAGCAGGTATTAAGCATATTGAGATATTGGATCTTTTCTCTCAGGTCAGGACTCAGCGCTAGAGGCACTATAGTTGACCTAAGAGGTTGTACTAAAGAAATTAAAGTTCCCAACCCAGTGATTACAAAATTCTGGGGTCATATGTGTCCTTAAAGTCATGGATCAAGTCATGATCATCTCCTTCCAGCTCAGCCAAGCTTAGGGCTAGGTGTGCACCAGAAGGTGCTTACCTGTTTACTGGCATCGCAGGTCTTGAGAGGACTGCATACCTAGTAAGGTATCCAACACCCACCAGCATTTCTGTCACATGGTTATACAGCTTCACTGCCTTCCCTGGTATCCAGTTATCTTTTTGTCCAATTGAGCAGAAATCTGCCTCCCCATAGTGCCCACCTTTGGTTTTAGCTCTGCCCTTGAGATGATATCGACCTCATCTTCCCCATCTACCAGACATCAGCCATCAGCATCCTTCAAGTTTGATCCTCTCCAGGATGAACACCCCTCATGACTTCATTGGCTCCTCCTTTGCTTTGTTTCAGTTCCAGCCACTAAGACCATGTTCCATGGATGGGTTTCAGTTTGTGGTACCTGGC